TTAAGTTAGGGGGTTTATTTAACATGGTAATCTTATTATATTATGTTTTAACAAATAAGTATTTATATATTACCAGCTGACCCGATCCCGTTTTGTTGGAATTTCTCAAATCTCCATTATTAAAAGTGAATAACAGTTTTTTTCATGCAATACTTACTAATTTAAAATTACTAATTTAATTTTTATTCGTTTTTGTTAGTTTTATTAATTTTTAATATTATTTAATAATTTTTATTAATTTTTATTGATTTTTATTATTTTTTATTGTTTTTATTAATTTTATTTATTATTTATATTTATTTAATTTTTTATTTGTTTATTTTTATTTATTTATTCCCCCCTTCTTAAAATGTGAAAATCGAAAAACCTTTAAATACGTCATTATATGAGTAGCTACAATTCCAACTTTCATGTTCCCACCTTTAAAAAATCGATACTTTCATCCCTCTTCCTCCTTCTCCCTATTTTTTCACTTTCCCACTTTTCCGCTATTTCCACCTTTCTCCAAACTTTCGCATTTATGTAGTATTATTTTTTATTTATTTTTATTTGTTTATTCTCCCCTCCTTAAAATGTGAAAATCCAAAAACCTTTAAATACGTCATTATATGAGTAGCTACAATTCCAACTTTCATGTTCCCACCTTTAAAAAATCGATACTTTCATCCCTCTTCCCCCTATTTGTTAACTTTCCCTATTTTCCCCTTTCTCCAAACTTTCGCATTTATGTAGTAGTAGGGTTTTTATGATACTTCCCATGCCCCCCTCCTTCAAATGCGAAAATCCAAAAACCTTGAAATACGTCATTATTTACGTTTATGAGCAGCTGCACTTCCAATTTTCAAGTTCCTATATTTAAAAAGGCGAAAGTCTTCACCTTACACCGTCATCTATTAGGCATTCCAACGACCTGTCCAAATGGCTACCAGTGGGTAATGACAGTTTAGATATGGCAACCCTGTTGTCAAGTTGTCATTAACAGGGTCAAGATACATATATAGTTATATAGATTGCTCAAAGCTGGTCGTTTACGAGCGGCCATATTGCCTGGCAAATATTTATTAATTTGAATCGGTTTAGCAAAAATGTGTTTTAAAACCAATTATTAGCCTTTAGATATTTAAAAAAAATAATTGCTTACATTTTTACTTCAAGGCATAAGCTTATGTTTATTTAAAAAAATATGGATGATCAATCTATGTAACTATCTATTTCATTGACCTTGTCAAATCACCAGGCCTACAGGGTTGCCATATCATAACCCACTGGTAGCCATTCAGTTTGGAATGCCTAATTAGGAATTCATAGAACTAACCAATAAATACACAATATTTAGGCATTCCATACGCGGTGCTAAGGTTTGGTAAATTTAAAGGGTTGCCACATACGATGTAGTCTATCTGCATTATATGAAATCATAAATAATGGATAAAATTTAAATATTTTTTGTTGAACACAATGAAAATATTATTTTAAAAAAACCGCTTATACATTTTCTATAAATAGCGTCCAAGATGGAAGGCTATGTCGCAACCCTTTTAAACTAACTCTGCCCGCTGTCAGCTATTGATTGACAGGTCATTGGAATGCCTAATTATTATTGTCGTATAATGAACATTTAATTTGCAATAACAAATATGAGGTCAATAATTGAAATAAAAACTATCCTATCTTTTAAATTGGACCAAATTACAGATAGTTACCAAATTTTATCAAAATCCGTTCAGTAGTTTCGGAGTTTATCGCGAACATACATCGCGACACGAAATTTTTATATATATAAAGATATTATATCTACTTGAGAATTAGAGATTTTTCACTTTCAAATAGAACATGAGTTATATGACTACGACGCATGTTTTTTGGTTTCTGTTTATGAGATAGAAATTTAAATTGATAAAAATTAAGTCAAAGAATATAATTATAGTGTGTCCACAGATGAATTTTTTTTTTAATTAAAAGTAATTCATAATTTATTTTGCTTGTTATACAATTCAAGTATAGGATGCGCAAAAATACAACAATTGTAGATTTGCGAAATTAAATTTTTTTGGAAGCTCTAATAAAAAAAACTTCATTGGGATTTTTGATTTATCTTTACAAGCTCTTCATTTGATCACTTACAAAATTTTATTTTTGCAAATCCGCAATAATTGTATTTTTTATTGCACATCATGCACAACAAAAAAAGTTTAACAAGAATCCTATTTATTTAACAAGCAAAAGAAATGAAGAAATTCTTTTGTTTTTAAAGTATAGATAGGTACATCCGTGGATACACTGTCACAGATTGTTGCTGCACGTATTGCTCTCTCTCTAATTATAAAAGCTACACAATCGGTTAAATGGGGACATTTTATCAGTTGTTTTTGGTTTTTGAAATAATCGCGAAAAACCAAAATGGTGCCTTTTTGATAACATACGGTATCACTAAAAATAGTGCCTCTAATCCAAAATAGAGGTAAAATAATTTATATGTGGGTGTATCATTTTTAAGCAACTTTTTTTTTTTTTCAATTAAAAAACAAACAAAAAACTTTTAGGAAGGTGAAAAAAGAAGCCTCTAAAAATTTGAGCTCTTAATATTATCATTTAGTGGGGCCTGTTCTTAACTTTTCATTTTCCATCTAAATAACATGGACATTTTTTTTTTCTTTTTTCTTATTTTTGTAGCTTGATATTTGAGCATTGTAAAAATAAAGTAAAACATTATTTTGGTAGGAAATTGAACGCTCTACAAAAAGTTCTAATATATTTTTTTCATAGGGTGAGCCGTTCTGAAGATATTCAAACTTAAAGTTGCAAATGTATGAAATTAGGACTTTTATTTTATTAAACTGATGACTTTTTTATGTCTTAAAAATTATTTTCAAGAAAACATTATTTTCATATAGAAGGAAAATAACGACGCACAGAAGACAAAAATTCACCAGAAATATTTTTAAACAAAAATATGAGTGACTTTGTTTCAAAACAATCATTAAAACTTTTTGACAAATTTGATTTGCCGTACGACTTTCTGCAGATGTCCTAATTTGGCCAGATAATGAAAGTTATCAAGAGAATTTGGAGTTTTTCGAAAAATTGAAAGTTGTCAATGACGTTGCAGGACATGGCGTCGCATTAGTAGAAGATTATAATAGATGCCTAACTAAAGATGAGGAACAATTTTAATATTTATTACAGGTGGTAAAGGAGGAGCATCGACGAAAATATCCAAATTGTAATAAAAAAACTTCAACAAATATAGTTAGTTACATCATTTAATTCTGATAAGACATTAAAATATCTATTAGTTTTAAAATTTTAGTATGCTAATTGTTAAAAAGTGTTTTTTAATCTATAAAATAATAATTTTACTGAACCTAATTCATAATTACTATTGTTTAACAGTTAATGAAATATCTAAGATGTATTTTTTTTTTATTTTAGCTTTCTAAAATGATTAGCGCACAAAAACCAGTTTTCTGATTAAAAATAATTTTTAAGACAAAAAAAAGTCATCAGTATTAGTTTAAGGTAGTTCACTCGCGACAGTCGTACATAAAAATATTGCGTAATGGTGAATACCAAAAGTTCGAGATTCTCAATGCTAATCAATTTTATTTTTGTAAGAGACTGTACAAAACATATGTATGTATATAAACACATATGGACAAGTTATAATTTTATTCAATTTCATCCGGCAAACTCGCAAATATTTAAACGATATGGTATAGAAATTTGTGACTTCCTCATACTAATTTTAAGGGTTTGTTTTGGTTCAAACAGAACCGCTGATTCCAGTTCTCAAACACAGTGGACGAATTAATTTTTCAAGAACACGTCGCGAGTTTATAACAACCTCTTAGCTGATCGAGTGTTACTTTGATACGTGAAGTGGCTACAATGTTGCCAAGTTGTAATAATTTTACGAAACTACTCGTCAACTGCTTTAAACATATTTTTATTTTAAAAATCTATATCTTTTTACTAAGTAGGTCAATAAATTCAGCGATTATTTATAAAATTTGATAATTTCTTGATTTATTTAACATTAGTTTTTAAAAAATATAGTAAGAACCGTTTTCGAGATATCTTGAAATAAATGCATTGCTTGTGTACATGATAGGCTTCAAGAGTGTTAATTATGCACATTTTGATTGTTAATATCTCGTTTCACAGATGGTCAAAAAATTTAATTTTTTTTAGTTACGTAAACGACACTTTCATAAACCATATATTTAAATTTTATTGAATTCTTAAGAAAAGCCGTTTTACGAGTGAACTACCTTAATAAAATAAAAGTCCTAATTTCATACATTTGCAACTTTAAGTTTGAATATCTTCAGAACGGCTCACTCTATGAAAAAAATATATTAGAACTTTTGTAGAGCGTTCAATTTCCTACCAAAATAATGTTTCACTTTATTTTTACAATGCTCAAAGGTCAAGCTACAAAAATAAGAAAAAAGAAAAAAAATTATCCATGTTATTTAGATGGAAAATGGAAAGTTACGAACAGGTACCACTAAATGATAATACTAAGAGCTCAAATTTTTAGAGGCTTCTTTTTTCACCTTCCTGAAAGTTTTTAGTTTGTTTTTTAGTTGTCACTTCATGACAACTTGTGGCTTGTATCCTTTTTACACCAAGGGCTTCAACTGATGAAATGTAATAGCAATTCTGAAATGGTCATAGAATACTGAGAAATGTTGCCCATTTAAACGATTCTGTAGCTCTTATAATAACCAAGATAGCAATACATGCAGCATCAATCTGAGACACAGTGCAAAAATGAAAGAGAAATTTGTTTCGTTCTGAATAAATAATAATAATAATTTATTAACAGTATTTTCTGTTAAATTAGTAATCTTCCATGTTATAAAAGAAAATTTGTATTTAATGATTTTATGCATTTCGATCTTAACCCAATTTTTAAAATATGCTTGTGTTTTGTCACACTTTATGATTAAACAGACCAAAGTAAGTAAAGAAGTTAACTCATAGCAACTTTACAGATGTCGAAGATGTAAAATTCGTTATAAATTTTGATTACCCTTCGAATTCCGAAGATTATGTCCATCGTATTGGCAGAACAGGTCGTTCGCAAAAAACAGGAACAGCTTACACGTTTTTCACGCCCAGCAACTTCAATAAGGCAGCAGATTTGGTTGCGGTACTCAAAGAAGCTAAACAGGTCATCAATCCCAAATTGCAAGATATGGCTGATAGAGGATACAGCTCCAATAATACAGGAAGAGGAGGTAATTTTTTTTTTTTTTTTTTTTTTCAAATACTTATGCGTCTCCTATTTTGCTATACTCATAGGAAGTGAATGTTTAATATAAGATTTCTTCCAATAGAACAAATAACCAACGACAAAAAACTACTAGACTAAACCATTCACTCATAATTAAGCCCTTATCGCAAGTATTCAGATTCTGTTTTATGATAAGCATACAGAACAGCCAAAACAGCTGCTACATTAGAAAAAGCGAGACACCTGTTAAATTGAGTGGGGATAGTTTTTGCGAGTTTGTTTATCTGAGGGGTTACGGCGCGTTTTTAAGAATAATTGTACAAACTGTCTTACACGGTTACCGCACTAAACTAAATAGTGTACTTTCCTGTAATCACCTCTAGCTACAATAATAGTTGCAACCAGAAGAAAAAGACATTAAACAGATAACTGACATTAAGAATGCAAATGTTCTTCCGTAATGTAATTATGTGTTTTAAAACCTTGAATTAAGTTAATTCCGAATTATAAGCACATAAAATCTTTGTAATAAGATTCTTCTATGCGCTTCCATAATAATTTGACAACTATGTGGATAACACCATGTATGCTTACAATTTGATTTTTGTAAACAAAATTGGTCTAGTTTGTTCGTCGAATTTATAATATTTAACACCCCCTTTCATAAATTTATAAAGCAATTACTTAATACTGAGTTTTAATTTTTAATCTTTAATTTTAATGTTTAATGTAAATATTTTATTCAACCTTATTGTCTTTTAAATCTTTTAAATTCTTAACCTATTTTATGAATTATACCACAATTGTATTTCAGCACCATATATATTTTACTACATTTTAATTATAATTTTAAAATTGTAATTTATTTCTCAAATGGGCTTGCTTGCCCGTAAATAAATAAATATCCAAATAAATACTTAGTTGAGGACCCTGGAATAAGAGTAGTCTATGTACCATGAACTTTTGAGATGTGGAATATTTTAGGTTCTATATTACTACGAAACAAATTTAAAAACATTTTGCATTCTGTTAAAAAATACTTTTATAATTAATAATGTTTTAAATTCGTTTTACTAATATAAAACCTAAAATGTTTCATATCTCAAAAGTAAGTTCAGGATCCCCAGTTATAAAAATCGTTATCCACTTTAATTTTTGGTCTTATCTGGAGTAAATTTTTTTCAATCGGGTTGCCACAATGTTTTTTTTTATACACATTAACAGTTTGTTATCAAAAGTAATTTATATTTAAAAGAATCTTATCTTTAACAAATTTTTTATTTTTTTTAGGAAGAAGCAGATGGACTCGAAACCCTAGAGGACGAAGGTCTATCTCTAGATCTAGATCAAGGACAAGATCGCGTTCTCCCAAGCGTTCAAGACGTGAGCGAACACGTTCCAGAGACAGAAGACGGAAGCGCTCCTTTAGCCGAGATCGATCAAGAAGTCCTATAAAAGCGAGATCAAACGGTTCGATTTCGCCGAGATCTCAGTCACCGCCACTGTTGAATAACGCTAGACATAATATGTCAGCCCCACCACCAATGCACAATCGCCCTCCAAGTCCTCAAAATATGCATCATCCTCCACCCCAGTTGCTACAGCATCCCGCATCGTCGATACCTATGCAGCTGCCGCCTAGAACAATGCAACCCCCCAATTTCCACCAAGCACCACCCGTACAGCAAAGATCTCAAGCTCCTCCTCTTTCTCTCAGACAACAACAGCCACCTTTACCCGTTATGGGTATGCAACAAAGACCGCCAATGGTTCAAGGTCCGCCTTCAATGCAAACTCCGCCTCCTCAACAGAGACATTCGCCTATAATGCAGCATAGGCCGCCGCACCAAGGTCCTCCTCCCATACATATGCAAAATTTGCAACAACCCCCACCGCCGCCTCCCCAGCATCAACAGCAACCTCCTTTGCCGCAAGGGCCGCCCTTACATCAACCGCCACCTCCGCAAGGATTGACCCTACAACAACCACCTCCGCCACAACAAAGACCGATGCACCAACAAGGACAGCCCGTTTTGGCGTATCAAAATTTGACACATAATCTTCCGCCGGCGCAACCCTTTGGGGGGTATCCCTTGCCGAACGCGAGCGCGTTGTTTTTCAATACTCCGCCACCACCACCGCCCGCTCAGAGGATGACGGGAGTGTACTTTCAATACGCTCCTCCCCCTCCCGCACCAAGGTAAATTGATAAAAGGAAATAGTCGAGGGGATTATAGTAAATATTTGATGAATGGTGTTTGTAGAGATCTCGTAATGAAGTATTAGATAGGATTGTATTTTTTTATTTAAAACTCTGAAAGAAATTAGGTTATAGCTGTTTTATAGGTTGTGCACCAAAAAATTAAGATAATTTTTATTTGACCAACAAATTAGGTTTTTAATTAAATAAGTGTTTCAATCAATAACTGTGATTGTACGACTAGTAATTTGTAGTTTTTTTGCATTTATTGACACTAAAAGTAATTAATATGACAGTAAGCAATTCTTTTATCATTTTTAAATGATACAAACTCGATGTACTCGTTTATTTAAATCATAAGATTATGATGGTTTTCTTTTTGTTTTTCTAGTGATAAAAAAAATGTTACTAAAACTGTCTTGTAAATATTGTGAAATTAAACTTTTGTTTGGAATAATTCTTGTTTAACAGATCTGAATAAAGTTATTTATCCATCAATGTGTTTTTATTTTGATTGTTTGTGGGCAAAGTAGATTTATTAATTAACAGCTTTGTCAGACTCCATAGAGGGCTATTAGTGATGACGTAATTTGTGTTCAATTGACAGTAAGTTGACATATAAAAATAAAGGTTAGGTATTTACTTAGATAAAAGAAACAACAGGTGAAGCATTACATTCATATCATTTGAATCGGTTATTGTATAACGGGAACAAGTCCATGATAACTACTTTTGAGAAAAATGAAAAAACCAACTAGCTTCGAAATTTGAATACCTATTAAGTTATGTTCTATGGATGAAATGTATTAATTGAGTAGCAGAATGATATGCGATAAAGCTATTTGGATTTTGAAAAGTATTAAGATCATAAGGGCGATTTTTAACCCTTGGACTTGTTTCCTTCATATAATAAATGAAAAAAACATAGAACAATATTACTGATGCTTTACTGTTAATTATTTTATTTATAAAAAAGGGATTAAATGATATAAAAAACCAAATCTGCATTCTAAAACTTTAAACAATTATTAGTCAGACTCATATTCTCTGTCGGTTGTTGGCCATTCCTTGAACTGTTCAAAAAATTCTTGATCTTCCTCAGGAATGTAGGTTAAAACCTTCATGAGATCCTCCAGCTTTTTAGCCTTGATTGGTACTTTTCCGTTATAAGCCCTTTCATTTGGAAAAGGAGGAGCTGTAACATTATTTTTTGATAAACGAAACTTGGATGTCGTAATGCCGTCTATAAATTCCCGTGTTACTATGAAACTGGGATGTTCACTTTCATAAGTCAAGTGTTTATATTTTGCTATGCTAAAACTTTCTTTTATTGTCTCTTTATCTGTAACTATTTCCTTCGTAGTCTTTTTAAAATAAGCTGGCCATTATGCTTTAAAGTTTAACACCTCATGTGTATCTATCACTTTTATAGTAAAGTTCGGCTTGGATGTTTTAGCTTTTGCTATTATTGACACATAATGCAATGGTGTATATATCCTATTATGGCGCCTAATAGCTCTTTTGATTATTCCGAAATCTCTGTCGCATGGCAGAAATGAATGCCCTCGAATAGGAAAATGTTGGTGAATCACTTTAAATCTTCTATTTAGGGTAAGATTCAGGAAAAATCGAACACGTATAATTCGGTGACAGTTTCTGGAATTTGCTTAATGTAGTCCTGTAGGAAAGAAGTTACTTCGTTCGCTCCGCGTTTAGCTGTGCCTTCATGGTATGTATAAAATGTTGCACCATTAGTTTTTATATCATGGATCCCAAAAACGTATTGCCATACTTTTCGTAGGTAAAACATGTCATTCACTGGCATAAAAGGTAATGGCAAATTCTGCATGTAATCGATAACGATTGCTGCTACATTTTCGTTGTTATTGCACAAATCTTTTACAGATTTAATTTTATTGTAGAACTTAGCAGCCCTTCTTTTATGCACAACTAATTCCGCAGCTGCTACTCGTTTTGCAGTATCGTTTAATACCGACGATTTTAATTTCACCCCTAATTCCTCGCACTTCTGGCATACGTCTACCTGTGGTCTACCAAATCTGTATCCAAAATTTTCATTAGAATGTTTTAAATAGTACTCATACTTAACAATGTTCACCAAATCTGCATTTTCCCAGCAAAACATCTCGAACATCTTTTTTACGGTCAACGAAGAATCAAGATAGTTAAGCGGTTTGCTTCCATAATGAGTCTCTTTTTTTGGAAATTTTCTGATATGCTCATTTATTTTTAAAATAGCACAATCAGGTAAAGCATTACCACGTTTAAGGTGTTGACCTCGCCTGTCAGTTGGCCTATCGCCATTTAACAGAAGTGAAGTTAAATGGAAAACTGCCTTTACTGACAAGGCATACAGACTAAAAAATGCTTTTTTGCATACTTGGACACGCTCTTTTCCGTTTAATACGTGAAACACAAAATTGCTTCGGCGCTCTTGCTTAGGCTCTTAATTTCTTTAGCATCAAGAAGACCCATTAAAAAAGTGTCTTGTTCATTCTTTGGCTTCCCAGAATACAGCGATTTAAAAATTGTCTTCTTCTGCTCATCAGAGATCTTCTCTGTGATTTAAATTTACACCTGCAAAAAATATAGTCTTTAAACTGACTAAAAACCCCATAAATACATAAAAAGAAGGCGAGATCCTATGATTAGTCTAACACCCTGTACAAGTACATACCTGCAGTCTGGCCCAGTTTGTCGAGCTGGTTTTGCAACGCCTTTTTGACTAACATAGTTTTTTCCAAGTAATCGGGATTTAATTCGTACATTATTTTCATATTTTTCACAGTTTCGCACACACTTTTTCCGTTTCGGTTGTAACTCACTACTTGTATCAGAGATATCAGACATAATTCTAATAAATAATGTTGTTTATATTCACAAAAAATGATATTGCAATAATTGCCGAACCAGGCACATGCATGTATTTTCTTTACATGAAGTAATAAAGTAATATACTGTAAACAAAACACAAGTAGCGACGCTAGCGCCACGAAAATTATTTTATAAAGGTAACAAGTCCTTGAATAGTTCCCTTTATAGACTCAACAATAAATTTCTGCCCATGATATTTCGAAACAGGCGAGCGGTATAAGTTTCTTTTATAGACCCACAGGTCCGTTGACTTCGATTTTACAAAATGTATATCTCAGTTTAATTTTGAAGAAATGTGGACTTGTTCCCTTTATACAATAACCGATTCATTTGTTTGGTTTCAATAATTGGAAAAGAGAAAATATATTTTATACGGATTGAAAGAAGACAAACTGTAATCCTAGATCTCGTCTGACAACGCTGCTGTTACATGCAAGTAAAGTCTATCGATACCAGTGACGTATCTTTTTAATATGATAAAATCACAACTCCTCGATTTTTGTGCAAAAAGGATTATTAATTTGCATTAAATACTAATTTGGTGTAAGTTAAATAATAATAATAAACTATTTGCAATTTCAATTTTTTTTATACAGATATAAAACATGAGAAAAAGAAAACGTGCCAAAGAAGGCTGCAAAAAGGACTGGTGAACAGTAGGGACTGATCAAAGCACCAGCCCTGCAATATGTCCAACGCCACAAGACATCGTACAAAAAACAATATATATATACAAGGTGTCATTGAAATAGTGTAAAAAAATTCGGGAGGTGATAGTACTCCTAAAACTAGTAAAAAAAGTTCCTATAACTATGGGTCGTACATATTAAGGGATTTAGGGGCGTCAAAAGGGCAAACTTGGAAAGTGGTTTTTTTGAAATTTAAGCTTAAAAAACACGATAAAACTTCGAAAAAAATCCCTATTGACATAAAATTTACTGCTGAATCCAAAGGTAATATCGAAAAATTACTTATTTAATCAGAAAGGGTAGTTATTGTAAGGGTAAGGGGTCGATTTATGATTAACTTTTTAGGCGTTAACTTTTTTACAACGTGGGTCTATTTTTTAAAAACAACTACCTTTTTTCCATAAAAAAGTTACTCTTATTTTCGAGAAAATTGAAGGCAAAGAGTTTGGTAAACCTGTAGTTGAAAAACGAAAAGTAAAATTACTTATTTTTTGATGGGTATCTCGCAGATTAATAAACATAAATTTATGAAAATTGTGACGTGTTAAACTAATCAACCTCCCAAAAAACTCAAACACTAAAGAAAAAAAATATTTTCAGGTAATGTCGAAGAAATTTTATTATGAAAAATTATGTTTTGTATGTGGGTCAATTTTTTTCTCTTAACTTTACAACCGGAAGGTAAGTGGCAACCCAAACCCCAGAAAAATTTTTGGAATAATCAAATTAGGACAATAGCTATGTACATGGCCTTATCACAATTTTTTTTAATTTAGCAAAAAGATATTGTAAATAATTTTGCCTAAAATTATTCTGGTTTTTAAGTATTTCTGACAGTTTCTTGTTGTTGAAGTGTACGTGAGCGTAATATACCAGAAATTATGGAATACACTGTACTGGAACTGACAGATATGCATTTTATTTATGGAAGAGCGAACGGAAACGGTCTTAGCTAAACGTTTGTATATTCAAAAATATCCAAATCGCAGAGCACCCTCTCATAGGATATTTGCCAGAGTCCATCAGCGCCTGAGAGACGAAGGTTCATTTAGTAACAGGCACCATGATCGCGGCCGTAATGTTACAGTGCGTACACCAGCAATTAAAGAGCGAATTTTAAGAAGTGTAGAGGAAGATCCAGGGTTATCTGTAAGGAGAATTGCAACGCGAGAAAACGTGAGTCCCCATACTGTGTGGATGACTCTTCATACTCAACTGCTATATCCATACCACATCCAAAGGGTACAAGCCCTTAATCCTCCAGACTATCCCACTTTCTGTCGTTGGTTATTAAGAAAACTGGTAGAAGATCCCTTTTTTCTGTCAAACATTTTATGCACTGATGAAGCAGGGTTTACCAAAAATGGGATTGTTAATTACCACAACACCCATTACTGGTTCGATCAAAATCCTCATGCTGTCATAGAAAACCGACACCAAGTTCGATTCTCAGTAAACGTTTGGGCGGGAATTCTTGGAGATAGACTTATTGGACCATTCTTTCTACCCAATTGGTAAATTTTAAAACTGTTCAAACGTCACCAATTCCTAATTATTATTATTATTATTCTTTTAGGCCTAATGGACAAAATTACCTTCATTTTTTGGTAAACCATTTACCAATACTTTTGGAGGAAGTTCCAATAGCACAGAGGCAGATTATGTATTTTATGCACGATGGTGCACCACCTCATTTTCCATTAGCCGTGAGAAATCATTTAAATCAAGTTTTCTAGAGGCGTTGGATAGGACGTGGTGGTCCACAAGCTTGGCCAGCCAGATCACCAGATC